ATGCCATACACGTATGTACCAGTGCTCCATTTATGTGCTCCCTCTGTGTACGGACCAGCAGAGAAATTTGGGACCTTCTGTACAAAATAGCGAATGGATGTGGGGTCATCTGTACGAGATATCGACAAACTGTGGACATATAGAATAAACTGTATAAACATTGGTACTTACTGTAATACCCGGCCTGAATATTTAAGAACAATTGTTAAGAATCTTGATTCTTAGCGAATAACTTTTCTGGTTGCTTTGACCACGAATGTGGTGGTCAGTCACTTGGCCATTATAACGCCATTGGTTTTTATGACTTTTTTTTTGTTTTTCTGTACTTCCTAAATCAAACGGTTTTACAATTTCCCGATGATAGTGTTGAGGAGCATTCTGTGATACATATCATTTTGAGGTCTCTGGTGCGCTGATTGAATTCCTCATGTGTTTTTGTATGAGAGAAAAAAAAATGCCATAAATTGGTAAATTTATCATTCTGCTGCATCCGAGTTTGCAATCTTCATGGATGAGGCCGGAGGATTGCATGCATCTGGCGTATTTTGCTCTAAAATAAATTCCATTTCCAAAAATTACTATATTTTATATACAGCGATAGAACAAATTTTGCAGTCTGGGTAAATCTACGTTTCCAGACAATTCAGTTTAACACTTAATGTTTTAAGCTCACGCATGGACAATTCAGGGGAAGGGCGCGTAAGGGACCGAAGATCCGGATTGTTTGACTCAAAATTTTGTTGCGGAAAACCCACGAAAAGCTGGCAAGAATTGGGTAATGTCTGAAATACATAGAATAGTTGCTTAGACAATGCTTTTTCTGATTTGTATGCTTGCGGCATACACGGGCAGCTTTAGTTGTTAGTATGTGGGGGAAGGGGTGGGGAGGGGGCAGGTAATGTAATGGATAACACAACACGATTCAAAGCTTCCGGAGAAAGTGAAAATCAGGGGGTTCGATTCCTTTCTGGTTCTCACTCGTTCATATATTCACTCTCAACAAAAAACGAAGGTACCTAGGCTATTTTTCTTCTCACAGAAAGCAAACACAAGAGGAAAAATGGCAAAAAATATGAGGAAAATTTCAGGGAAATTCGACTTTTCGAGTTTTTAAAAAATTTCGACTCTTTAAAAAATATCAGGAAAGTTTTGGGGGCTCAGAAAATCGCAAGAAATGAATAACCAAAGATTCCTAATTTTAAGTGGACAAAAATTTGAAAGCACATAGCTTCAAAGGGCATTTGGACAGTCTCATCGAAATTAGTGCAAATTCATAAAAGATATAAAGCCTAAAAAATTCCACGAACTTATCCTAAACTGTTCGTTTCTTTTCGCTTACAACACTATTATCTCCGGTAAAATACGCGATAAGAGGATATAATAAGGCACCAAAAAAAGCAGTTACTACGGTTGCTTGCAGAGCTACGATTTTTGGATCGTAGCCTGTTGGAGTTTCACGAAGATATGCTTTCCAGTCGGCTAAACGCTTGGTTAGCTCAATTCCTAGCAGAGGTTTAACGCTGAAACCTAGATAGGCCTGGAACAGGTCCTGTGGCAATCGGTTTCCAATCAGTTTCGGATTTTCTGCGCTTTCCGTAACGATTCCCTGTTCCACCCGTATCCGATCGCTGTACAGCGGCAGTGTGAACTGTGGCGTACGACCATAAATCCAATCCCAGCTTCGGAGTTCACGTTCACATTCCAGTAAACCCGGGAATTGCGCATCATCAGTGAAATTTCCCGACAGCACCAGCACTTTTGTGTCCTGGAACTTTCAGTAAAATTAAAAGGTATCAAATTTTATGAAAGTTACTCGTTAGCCTTGGTGCGAGTTTTACACAAGAGAGATGTGGAATTTTTGCTTAAATCAATAAAAATTTGAAAGTACATAGCCAGAGGGCATTTGGACAATGTTTCAACAGAATCACTGCAAATTCAGGAAGATATAAAAGCCTAGGAATCCCACTAACTTAATGGACCGAAACATTCCTGTTCCGTTAAGTGAAACTCCTATAGAAACTCGTGTGTATGTGAAATTTATAATGTGAAACATGCGGTTAAGTGAAATGAAGATTATATTAATGGTATATATATGCAGAATATGAAAATTGATTAATCCCAGAACAGAAATGTTTCGATCCATTAAGTCGTATACATTCTCACTTAGCACTTAAAACTGGATTTCGCTCATCGGCGGATCCAGGGTGTCTTCCTGGGGACAAGGAGGCGGGGGGGGGAGAAAGAACGGGGCTCCTGGAAGAGGAACAGGAAGAACAAAAGGGGAGGGGAGATGCGTAAGGCAGTTTTCTTCAGTTCTAGCTTTAAACCCGCACTTTTGTAGCATTGGTACCTGTGCCGCTGGGGAGCGGGGAAGCGGGAGGGGAGGG